TTTTAAAAAAAGTTTTTTAATTTAAAGTTTATATATAAATCTATTTTGTATTGTATTTGTCTAATAATCAAAAAAAGGTTAAATGATTTAATATTCTTCGACTACAATCGATTTAAATAAACACCAAAAATTTTTTATTAACATATTGTATTATTGAAATTATCGAAGTACTAATTATCAATACTAACACGTGATAAAAAATACTTTTCATGTTATTTGTGTTAAATAGATTTAAAATCGATAAAAATTTCATTCTGGTTAATGTAAATAAGCCATGACCACAGTTCCTTGAATTAGTCCCTTTATGACTTAATCGACCTATATTTGTTGATTCGACCAAGCCGAAATTTAAAATTTGGCTTGGCTGACTATGCAAAATCGATTGCCTTTAGCGTTAGTATTTTATAATATATATTCCGAATTCTTCTTCCATTCCACTATTATAAGTTGGTTGATTGTCTAGTTTGTATAAAAAAAAATTGTCGCCAATCATATTCATTTTATCCAATCAAAATTTTTGCTATGTTGCCCGAAATCTGGATTTCATTTGGTAACCTTCAGTGTTGATTCGTTTACATAGGCAAATTGGAGACACACTAAAGATTGCAATACAGTGGACACCTGAATTTAATTTATATACAGATAATAATTCATAAAACTACAAAACTTTAGTGCATCTCCAAATTTAAATAATTATTATTATTTCGTTGCATTATTTCTGATACATTTTATTATTTTGATTAAATTTTACACATAGTAACAGTCTGAAGCTATTTAACCATTATATACGAAACTATTCACTACACAATTAAAAAAATCTTCCGCCGTCATCACCATCGAAATTGTCAAATCCACCGCCGCCTGCAAAGAACTCTTGATCATCCATATGACTGCCACCAGGCATTACACCTCCAGATGCAATGTTTTTACTCTATATAACAAAGAAAGTAGGTTATATAAAGGGAAATAATTAATGCAAAGAGTGAAATAAGAGGAATGATATTGTAAATTAAAAAGAAAAGGCTCTTACTTTAATAAGATATTCTCTACTACAACCAATAAGCCGGTCAGTTTGGATAACACGATCGCTGACTCTAGTAGCATTGGCTATTTGTTCCTCAAGTTTTAAGATAGTATTTGACGTATTATACATATCAGGGTCATCGTGGAATGACACCATTCCACCTTGATCAGAATGACTAATAGTAGCAAATATTTCACGAGATTCGATCTAATAAATCATGTTCATGATATTTGATTAATAGTCTATATAGATGAAAACATACATATGAATTAAAATGAGAAAGAGAGGTATGTTGCTAAATTAGACTTTTCAATGATCAGAAATTACGAATATCAAGAAACGTTACCTCTGTTAGAGTCATAGGCAGAAATTCGTCTGATTGGCTAATGCAAATCAATTGACCGGGTAACTTATTTATATGGTTTATAGTACT